GATGCTAGAACATTTTTCTCCCTGTTGACTTCTTGAGTGCCAGGATCTCACAAAAAACCTGATCTTTGTACCATCTCTGTGTGTATATATATACATAAATATATACATAGATGTCTGTCTGTCTCCTTGACTCAGCCTCTCTCACAAAAAAGAACTGCGCATTATGCGCTAAGTACGGTGCCACCCAGCTCCTGTGACACGCTATACTATTAGCTCCTGAATCAGGAACCGAGGTCTGGTAAAGGAAGATACTTGCTTGGAGTGGGGGTAAACCCAAGATCAGGTTTGAGCTTTGCCTAAAATTCTTCTGGCTCCCACATTCTTCTTCAGTGCAAAAGGGCCTCTACAGCTCCCCTTCCTCCACAGGACTTAGAGCTACTCTAAATCCACACAGGACCACTGATTTAATTCAACACTGCAAGTTTGGTGTGCTAACCACCTCACCCAAAGTGATAATCCACCTTCAGAAAAGCAGGTCAGTCATGGATTGCTGTACCCTAAAGAACACCCTCCAGAGTACACCTCAGTGACATTAAACATCAGCTCCTGTTAATCCCGGAATCACGCAACAGCCTTAACAAATTTATCAGAGCAAACAGAGCAACTCTCCAGTAGAGCAGCTAACAGCTGCTAAGGTCATGCCAACACTGTGAAGTAAAACACGGGCCAAAGCACTTCAGGCCGCATCCACCTTCTGGTTTTTTTGGCAGCTGATGAAGAGACTGTCGTTTGAACCCAAAGCATCCAAACTGACCTCGGGATGCCTGCTGGGGAGTAAGGGTTCTGGGGCTGCCGGGCTCACCTACATCTGCTTCACTCGGCCTGTCTGGGTAAGAGCCTGGGACTGCACGAACGCAGCGCGCGGCCAGGGTTCCTCACGGGAGGGCAGCTCAGGTCACGCTGTAAGCCTGCGCCTCACGTGTAAGCGGGTGCTGAACACTAAGAATGCTGACAAGCTTGGGCTCAAGCAGGCATTGAATTGAAAGAAGAGATGTCGCTCGATAGGCTCAGTATCAGCACAAAGACATTTGTTACACTTGTCTGAACTGATTTTCTTTTGGAGAAAAGGGAGAGAGAACAATTTCATCTGCCCTCTGAAGATTATTCCTCCAAGCGGGCCAGGGCCAGGGGGTAAATCCTAAGTACTTCCCGACAACAAACCAAATTACGCTCCGGTAGACCATTCTTCAGTGGGACTGGAGGTTTGTGTTTTACGTCCACCAGTGCTGTCAGACCATGAAGGTCAATGTCCTATTTCAGAATGGACCATGGCTAATGAGAACAAAGGGGAGGACTTTAAGACCTATTTTTCCACACAAAGTGAGAGAGAAACAGAAGAGCTGTGAACTCATTTTGCTTCCCAGCAATTTTATTAGTTTCCTTAATTGCTTTGCTCCACCTCTGATGATTCCAGGCCTCCCATATATTTGAAGACTAACTTCTTTTTAACCCATTAGCCATTTTTGTCTTCAACTGGAGCAGTAATTAGGGGAAAGCTGTTTCTGCTTATTCAATTCGTTACATCCAGATTTAGATCCCATCAGCTGCTTGACCCTAACCATTTAGGTCTTCCTTTCTTGGTTACCTCCTCATTCAGCATTCTGAGAACCTCTGCAAACTAATAAGGTCGTCTCAAGACCTTACCCTTTTCCTTGTAAAAACGTAGTTTAACTTTCTCACAGCCTTCCCTTTTCACTTCAGCCCATGAATTTCATTCAAGCCAAAGAAAAACTCTCTTCAAGAAAAGCTGCCTTCACCATTATCAAATTAATTGAGCTTCAGAAGAGTCACAGATTTTAATTAAAATTACTCATGTAATTCTGTAAAAATTTGGAGCAGGTATTATCAGCCTGTCACTTCTTTCATACATTCTATTTTCACAGCAAAGATTAAAGCACACGACAGCCAGGAGCATCTGCAATTGCACCAAAACGAGAAAATGCATATTAACTGGAACGTTAGTTTTGCCAATCCTCTGCTGTGCTGAGACGAAGCAAAGAAGTTATCAAAATAATTCTCCCCCAGTACATGAAGTTACGAAAAATTAATTACCTTATTTATTATACCTCGAGCTTCGCTAGCAAAGTCACGAGAACATACTTCCAAGTGAAATACTTTTCCACAGTTTGATACACAGGCTCCTAAAAGCTGACAACAGAAATACAATTGTGAAAACGTATGACAACAAGGAAAAGAATCCAAAGTAAAAGCATACATCAAGGGTTAAATTTAAGCCCTTGTTCAGCATGCACACGCTGACTGACTTCTGCTGAAGAGCTACAAAGGTATTACTTGACCAGCACACGTCTAACAGCTGCAGTACGTAACAGAACAGGAAGGGTTTTGAAAATAGCGACAGTTACTCACTGTAAGTGCTTGCAAAGCCACATGGGGAACTTTATGATTTACTCTCTTCATGATGGCTTTAAGGCAATCCTTTGCTCTGAAAAAGGAACACAAACTATTAGCGATAAATGTGACTGACATGATCTGTGGAACGAATGTTACCAGAGATACTCAAGTCGGGCGAGCAAACAAAAGTGGGTCTGTTGAAAAAACTGTAACCCAACCTAACCTTTCCCCAGAGCTAGTCTGAAAAAATATTTAACAACTTGTTTGTTCTTATATGTGCATTGGGTTGGAACAGACTCCACTGGCATTTTACATTAATTTCCGTAAAACTGCTGACAGGACAGAAAGGGAGCAATTGCCATTAAGTTAAGGAAATGGCTTTGAAATGGACAATGAAAGAAATGTCTACATAAAAAAAAAGAATGAGGAGCAGCGATGATTAAATAAATGGTTATTTTACTGGCTACTGTAAAGGGTCTCTACGGATTTAATTTAAAAAATCATGCTCACAGGTTGTCAGCTCTTGGATCCCATTTGCGAGACACTAAGGACACAAAGAGTCTATAATTTGTTTCAGCAAAATCTGAGGTAAGTATAGAGTAACGATCAGCCCCCTAAATGTTACTCTACTAAGAAGTCTCGCACCTAAGATGAGCATTAAGGGCATGCACCAGCTACACGGGCTGAGGCACATGTAAGGTTTCATGAACCCTCTAGAACCACGAAACCCCTGTGTAACGAGCTGGGGCAGGCTCTCTACAACAACTACCACCACCTGCAGCGTCCTCCAGCTGCCGTATCGCCAAAGCACAGACCTGCCTCCCCAGCGCTGCGCTCCTCCGTGTGCGACCCCGGCACAAACCACCTCTGCTCCTCACCACCGAGGCCCTGGCTCCCCCCTCGCTTCAGGCAGGCTCAAGCGAAAGCCGCTGATGAAAGCAGTGGGCCAACCACCCACCGTCCCTTCCTACGGCAGTGCAGGCCCCCGCCCGCCCTGGCGGAGGCTTTAGCGGTCACGCAGTGCCTGGATCAGCGGCCTGATCCGGCTGAGCATGACAGTGTTCAGCCAGCTCTCTGCCAAGATCAGATTCACCAGGATTCCGTCACACAAGGGGCTACAGGAAATACCTGACAACCCTCCTCAACACCAATTCTCCCTCCTGTCAATTTAAAGTCATCAAGGAATTGCAACCTCGGGCTGAGCTTAAAAAAAAGCTCGAGCAGAAACAAAACCAAAACTGCTTCACTCCTGACATTAAGAAGGTGTTTGTTTCAATGTTTTGTTTCATATCAAAGGGTGTCTGGCTCAAGGCACACGTGCACAGCAACCTGCACCTGCATCCACATTTCGGTTTAGAGCAGTAGTCTGGTTTGGAAAAATCTTCCGAGCCTTCCCACGTGCTGCACATTCAGCTCACCAGGGAGTTCTGTGCACGCAAGTTTATTTCCTTTTGGAAGAAACGACGCCAGAAGCGCCAAACTGCTCCGACCTCTCAAGGAGCCGCGGGCTCAGCGCCAGCGCCAGCACCTGCAGGCAAAGCTGCACCGCCGCCGGTGCGGGTGTTGAGTGTAGGAGAGGAGATTAAACCTGTTCGGAAGGGGGGAAGCCCCAAACCGCCTGAGCTGCCACTGGGATGGCTGCAGTGGCTTCGGTACCAGCCGCTCTGGTCCAGTACCCCGGCCCTGCTGTTCCGAGTGACATCGCCAGGGAGGTCTGCGGTTAGCCCTGACATCGTTAACATACACACAGTCCAACAAAGCCCACGGACTCCTTGTTCAGCCAGGTATTCATTTCAGGGTAGGCAACAATATTTACCATTTTGAGAAGAGGCTCTTAGTGAAGGGCAGGAGGGAAGAAAACTACAGAAAATTGAAATGAAATATGCTAGCAGGAACAGCATCTAAAATTCCAAATTTATATATACAAATTTCTATTTGTATATACACAGAATATATTAGGACTTAATTACATATTTTATATATATAGCTACATCTTTTGCATGTGTAATGAAAATAAACCCTAATTTTTATTTTTATTTTTATTCTTACAATCTCACCTCCTCCAAAACAGGTCGGTTTAAAACAGCTCCCTCCTCAAAAGTCTCTTGGTACCAAAAAAAAAAAAAAACAACCCAAAAAAACCAACCAACCAACCAACCAAAAAACCCAAACTAAGAATAATTTTAATGAAGTACTCAAAGGACATTCTACACTGTTTTTCTTCAGGACTGAAGATTCCCACATTGCATAGATTTGCTATTATTCCCCATGGGAAGTAATTAATTAAAAAACCCAACAACTTTCTCAGTGCAGTAATCTTAAACGTTATATAGAAGTGATAAAATTTCTAAAAACTTAGAACTTAAGAACTCAGCCTATGCACTTATTCAGGTTTACTTCAAAATTTAAAAGCTGTTCTCACCCAAAAAGATTACCTTAAAATTCAGCAAATACTTTTGGCCACTATAGGATCACTGAACTACCACCTAGGTTGCAGTATCACCACTCAGGCTAAATCGATGCAAACGGATCTGTCTTTTAATTCCAATTTTTTCCCCTTTCTCCTCCATCAGTCCCACTCTTCCTAACGAATACACACAAATTCCTCATCATAAATACCTAACTGTCCTAGCCAGATCATTTTCTGCAGAGAAACTAGTTCACTTTTTCCTGCTGGCACACTTGCTTCTCAGAATTTATGCAAGATCATTAAATATGAATAACTTGGTCTACTGTGCAAAACTCCACAAAAACTGGAATGCGCTCAGCATACACAAACTGCTCTCCTAGAAATCCTGTTGGAACACTTCTTTCCAACAATTTTAAAGCCAACTACAGAGAGTTGTAGAGCTTGCAGAAGTGTCAGATTGGTGGCACTCTTTGCAGAGCTGACTACGCCGAGCGTTTTGAGCGGCGTTCTCTCTGACACGGTATTCTTCTTCACAGGAACATGAAATTACACGCTGTAACGCCGAGACACAGCTTACCCATTGGGAGTACTTCCAACTTTGTCGCAGATATCCAGAATAAGACCCCAGTCCTCACTGGTGTTACATTCATTGGTAGCTTTTTCTATAAAGAAAAAGAAGATTGATTAAATGCAATACCCTGTTAAGTTCAGATTCTAGTCAACAGACACTTCCTCAGCCGTACCAAGAAAGGAAACTCCACACACACACAATACCAAGAGGCAGTCTTCTCCAGATTAGCACCAATTCTTGCTATCTTGAACCCAAGTACAGTCTTCAGCACTGGGCTAACAGATGTGATAAGTATTTAAAAGTTCCAAAACCAGAAACAGCTCTTGAAGTGTGATGTTGCAAGTGATGCAAAAGAAACTGCTCTTGTGCAGTTTGTGTAGTGACTTCAGGTGTAAGTCTTAGACCTACCCTCGAGTTTGCTCAAGATCTTCTAACATTTGCATGCCATGAAATATTTCACATGGATGTTCCAAGGGGAAATCCAAAAGAAAAATATCTCTTTAGGACTCTAAGGCAAAGCCACCTCCTCATTCAACACATTTACTAAAATATTTTTTCCTCCTAGATTCTTCAGGAGATCTAAACGCCACAGCAAGTGTTGAGAAAAATAACCGGCATGGAAGGATTAATTAAAAACACAGAACGGGACAACAAAACCCAGACTGCTCTATCAAGAGAATGCATACTTAATACTTGCAACTTCTCACTCAAAATATTAACTAATAAGGCTTAATGTTGTTTAATTGTGCTTTCCTTTCCAGTTTTTATTGCAGCCTTGTTATTTTAATCAAATGTAAATGTTACAGTTCTATTAAAATAGCTTACAAACAGCATATTAAATATTTTATACATGGCATCTGCTGCCTTCGGATTTAATTTTAACCTGCCAATCTAATATTTTAAGTAAACTCAAAGACAAGTGCTTTTAGATTTTTATGTTATGTATTAAAACCATCAGCATGCACTTCATAATCATGGCAATATCATAATCAGTACTTCCACGGAACTTTACTTTGGCAAGAGAAGCCACTAAATCCCTTTGGGACCGAGCATTTTAAAGACTGTTTAGTGGATTAAAGCGGAACATAGCGGTCACTCGCTACGAACGTGGTGGTGTTCCGTCACAGCAGCTGGTCCGAAATGGCAAGGTTTGCTGACAGCAGTACTACTGCAGGATAAACCCAATTTCATGTGTGCAATTAAGCATCTTCTCTGATAATCAGCTTCATTACTTAGTTTTGCTGTTGAAAGTTGCAACAATACTCGGGCTGGCTCAGCAGAATGGCTTCCACAAAGAAACCGCAAGCGTAGCGGCCAGCAGTGCCCCTAAACCCCCTTTTGTCACGCATGTAAAAGCAGACCAAGGAGGAGGAATGGAAATTTGTAGTTTTGGCCACGGGTTATCTTCACAAGCACAGACTAGCTATTTAAGGGAAGCAAATACCACATGAAAGCACGTTCCTACCGCACAAACCTTCTTAAAAACTTACACAAAAAGGACATAATTGTTAAATTTTTTTTAAGTGCATCAGTATTTCTAGGACACTAAACAAAATTCATCGTTTGTCCTTGAAAATAAATGTGCACCTGCCATTTTAAATACTTTCATATTCAATTTATTAAAAAAAAAAATAAAATCAAACCAAAACAACCCCAATAGGCACATTTCCTGGCTATGGGAACCGTAAGTACTGAACAATCACGAAAGAACACCAGGTTTGGTGCACACAACTTCAGCCTGCTGTTTCCTATGAAGCTCTGCCAGCTAGAACCGCTGTTTAAAGGCATCGCCTTGCACGTCTCCATCCCCAGCGGGGTGAACCCTCCCACCCAAACTGTCAGTCGGATGAATCCATCCCATCCAACAACAGCAGCTGTCGGTTGGGCCAGCTCTCTAACGACAAATAGCACCAGTGCCTACCAAACAGACTGGGCACGTTATTTAACAGCACTGCCTGGTGACACCCTGATCAGAAACCTGTCTCCCCTCTGAAACTTCTGGAATATTCTAGAGATGCCTCTTTCCACATGTCCCCCTCTTCTCTGAGCAGAAAGGGAGCAGCTAAGAGTAAACAGTAAGAAACGGCAGTAGGTCAACAAAAAGGCCCGGAAGCCAAGAAAAACGGAGGTTGTGTTTCACACCCGAGTCCTCAGACCCACGAAACGCCCCGAACAGCGGTGCCCAACGCCACACTTGGGCTCTGCCCGCCCTCAGCAGCGCCCTCTGGCTCGGGAGGCCGCAAGCTGGAGTGCTTCGATACGGGTGGGCACCACGAGCGAACAAGCCTCAAGACAGGTACTGTCACACGTCTGAGCTTTGCTTATTGTTTCATACACCCCAAACCCCGACCTCCAAACTTTCCTCTTCCTACACTCCCT